CTACCCTGTAAATGTCTGAAACAGCGGTAGGCAGATTCTGATACCCAGGTGACCAGATAGCCTTGGAGCAAACGAAACTTCCTAGAGCTTTTTTTTTGGGAGGGAGGGGTGTTTTTTAGCTTGAGAGTTCTCCAAAATGCATATACCTAATCCTGCCTGGCTAAACATTTAGAGTATGACTCAGGCCTTGGTTTGAGCAAATGAAAACTCGAAAAGAAAGAAGTGGCATGTAAGGCTTTTGAGGGCATGCTTAAAAATGGCTAGTGTGTCCCAGTGAGTTCAGATGCCTCAGAAAACATTCCAAGTAAAGAGGTGTCTGCTTCAGAACCTGGGTGGCATCAAAATTTCCTGAAATCATTTTTTCTCGGTTGGTGTTCTGGTGTTTTGGATCACTTTTGCATGATCATCCGTTTCTGCCTGAATGACATATGCAGTATATAGGTGTTTGTGCATGCACGTATATATGCATACATAGGTATACACTCCACATATATATGGACATACACAAATATTGGGTGCATGTATGTACTTACCACTGAGCAATGGACAGTGCTTCTGGGGCCCACTTGCTTAGCACACAGTCACTAACCTTTTGGCACTGGAGTCTTTTACAGACCTGGCTGTCTCCTTCTAATGACCTCTGAAGGCCAAGACAGAAGCTCAGCCATCTGATGCTGAGGCTCCAAATACTTAGCTGTAAAAAAAAAATAGAAAGACAGACTGCATCTAAAATACTTCACCATGTATATGCAATAAGAACTGCATGATGTTAAGCTTGGCTTATGAACTGATTTTCATTATTTGATAGGATACAGAATCACTGGGATTTGTTCAAGCAATTAAAAGGGTCTTTTGGGGAACAGAAGATACTAAGCACATCTATAATATGTTTAATTTCATTTTCTGAGCAAGGAATGCATCTTTCTCATGTTGCAACTGACACAAAAGTCAGTCTCTATTGCTGCTTGGAAAAAAGGCTTCATAAGCCTCTAGTAGCCACTTGGACACAAGTAACTGTCTGGATCTTTAAGATAAATATGTAACTCATGACAGCAAGCTTTAGGAAAAGAACCAGCATACATGCATATTTCAATCAGTATATTTATACATAGGTAAAGAGCAGTCAGTTTAATACACATATATCACTGGAGTTGTTTTTGTTATTTACTTCTTGTCACTAAATGATGACCCATAAGAATTTAACATTTCTATGCTTTCTCAATTTACCTACTAAACTACAACAGGGATCTATTTCATCTTATGTGGCCAATGAAAATTTCAGTGCATTTTCACTACATTTGCCAACTTGAATAAAAATAGGTATTTGAAGTTTCAATGAATCAGTTCTTGGAGGGCCTAATACTTGTGGAAATCAGAGGGTTTATGCTCTTCTTCCCTTGTTCAAAGAAATTTTTTCTTTAACAAATAAGAATAGAGAACCATAGAATAATAGAATAGTTAGGGTTGGTAAGGACCTTAAGATCATCAAGTTCCAACCCCCCTGTCATGGGCAGGGACACCTTGCACTAAACCATCTCACCCAAGGCTTCATCCAACCTGGCCTTGAACACTGCCAGGGATGGAACATTCACAACCTCCCTGGGCAACACATTTCAGGGCCTCACCACCCTTACAGGAAACAATTTCCTCCTTATATCCAATCTAACCTTCCCCTGTTTAAGTTTGAACCCGTTACTCTTGTCCTATCACTACAGTCCCTTGTGAAAAGTCCTTCCCCGCATCTCTATAGCCCCCCTTCAGATACTGGAAGGCTGCTATGAGGTCTCCACGCAGCCTTCTCTTCTCCAGGATGAACAGTCCCAACTTTCTCAGCCTATCTTCATATGGGAGGTGCTCCAGTCCCCTGAGCATCCTTGTGGCCCTTCTCTGGACTTGTTCCAACAGTTCCATGTCCTTTTTATGTTGAGGACACCAGAACTGCACACAATACTCCAAGTGAGCTCTCATGAGAGCAGAGTAGAGGGGCAGGATCACCTCCTTCAACCTGCTGGTCACACTCCTTTTGATGCAGTCCAGTGTACGGTTGGCTTTCTGGGCTGCAAGCGCACACTGAAGCCGGCTCATGTTCATTTTCTCACCAACCAACACCCCCAAGTCCTTCTCCACAGGGCTGCTCTGAATTGCTTCTCTGCCCAACCTGTAGCTGTGCCTGGGATTGCTCCAACCCAGATGTAGGACCTTGCACTTGGCATGGTTAAACTTCATCAGGTTGGCATCAGCCCACCTCACAAGCATGTCAAGGTCCCTCTGGATGGCATTCCTTCCCTCCAGGGTATCAACCAAACCACACAGCTTGGTGTCATCAGCAAACTTGCTCAATCCCACTGTCCATGTCAGCAGCAAAGATGTTGAACAAGACCGGTCCCAACACCGATCCCTGAGGGACACCACTCATTACTGGTCTCCAGCTGGACATTGAGTCGTTGACCACAACTCTTTGCATTGTGAATGAAGCATGGGAATAACCATTTCAAATGTATCTAGACCAACCAGCATCCTAGATCCAGCAGTAGCCAATATCACATTTTTTAAATAGAAACTTTACATCTCTGCTAGGGATAAATAAGTGAATGCTAGCAGTAAGATGGAAAGGATAAATAGTGCAAACAATACCTGGCCATATTTGGCCATTTCGATTGGAAAGTAATCAAACCAATGGTTTGTTGGTACAATAAAAAGCAGGTCATAAAAATATTAAGAGGAAAATAATCATGAGCCTTCAACTATGCCAGGCAGCTGGGTTGAAATATTTCCATAAAGCAGCCACATTCTATGCTGAAAACTGTTGGGTTTTCCACTCTACTTCCTATCGGAAAGATGGTTCAAAGTCTCATTTTGTTAAATAACATCTTTTCAGTTCCATTTTAAACTTACTTGTGCACAGTATACACCTTTTTTTTTTTTATTTGTACTAATATTATCTCTCAGGTTTAGAAACTCCTCCACAGTTTTCGTTCTAGGGAGGAAAGTGAAGGTCTCTCACAAAGGGAACAAGTGTGTAACATTCAGTCTTTGTTTAGTGAGACTATTAAACCATATTCTGCTAGTCATTGTTTGCAGAAAATTCTGCCCCTTCTCTGAGCAGTCTCTGTACTCCTTTTAATACAAATTCCATTTTCTTGAACATGGATGTTCACAATGTATGTATTACTCTTAATGATAATTTGCTAGGGCCCTGTATTAATACTTTTTACTCTCCTGCAAATTCTTCTGATACGTTTCATTGCATTTCCTTTCTCCAGGTCACATCACACTGATAACTTATAACCCATCTTGATGAACTCAAACTTTTCTCCTCCACTGTCATTTCCTTTTCATGAACATTTCATTTATGGAAGAAAATACATTTATAGAAGAAAATTCTCTTATCAGTCTTTACTAGAAAGACCTTCTTGTTCTTCATTTTATACCCATTTCTATTTGCCCCTCTGGTCTTAATTTCTTTTTCTTTGACAATATATTCTAAGTTTTGCACACTGCAGAGGTCAAAGTAATTTATCTGCAGCTGCCTAGAGAACTTTTTTCTTCTGAAAAGTTACTGCTTCATGAACTATTTTTGATGCTATACAACCTCAGACTTTCAGTAGAAATCATTGCTATCAGACTAATTTTCATGCTTTCCTATGTTCCTGTAGTCAGAAATAAAAAAAAAAGAGGAGGTAATCCATCCCACCAAGTACTCCCTTCATTACACTGAGGAAGTACCTGATGAAGAGGTACAGACTCACCAATGTCATTTCATATACCTCAGTTTCCAGTTCCATACCGTCGTTCTCATAGTAATCCTACTCCTGCAACATATTTAGCAATGTCCCATTTTCCGCAAAGAGAAGCAGAGTGCTAATTTAAACTGGAGCCACACCTGTAGTTATTTTGACCATTTCATCACTGATCAGGATGAGCTTGACTTCAGTTAATTACTTTCTTCTTTCTTAACTTTCTGATCTCCCTGATAAAATTCCTTGATGATCAATATTTTCTAATTTTTTCATCCTTACAGGTTTCCAGCTTCTTTTTAGTAGCCTATTTCAACTGCGTATTTATCCACTAAATCTGGAGCTCTCCCTTACAGAATTTCCTTTGTGCTTGGCAACAAACTCCAAGTACCCTGTGTATGTTTCATCCACATCATTCCAGAGACTTTGACACATGAATCTTTATAGTCTGACCTCTGAATTCCTTTATATACCTCAAATCCATTATTTTGAACTAGAAAACACTATTTAACAGCCTGTTCGTTTATCCTTCCTTTTCATTTAAGCTGAACAAGCTCAAGGTTGTGTACTCAGTACTTATCAGCCTTCTGGAATAGCTTTATTTCTTGACAGTGCTATTCTTACTAATATTTTTTTTCTGCTATATATATAAATACTTGTAGTATTTATATATGAAGATATTTGGAATGAAATTCTTGGAATCTATAGAATATTTTTATGTTGTTGCAGTGGTACAATTTTTTTTTAATCTTTTCCCAAAAATACAAAAAGTCAGAACCTCTGCTTCTTTTAACACCTAACTCACTCATACTTGAGCTATTTCAGTGGGAATATTTGTTCTCAAATAGTAGCAATTAGTAAATTTTTCTTTGTTTTTCTTTGTTTCCATCAGAATGATGGCTTTTTTTTTCCTTTGTTTTCCTTTTTTTCCTCTTATATCCACTTTTATTATTCTTACTTTGTCTGGAAGGCAATTCATTTTTCCATTTACTAATTCTGCTTTGCCTTTAGGACTGTCAGCTCTTTAACAGCAGTCCTCACTAATGAAAATTTAGACAGATTTGTGATGTTCGGAACAGGCCCTTTTATTTCCCAAGTACTACACTTTTAGTTTTCTCTTACATCATTCACATTTTTGGGAGATTCCTGCCCCTGTCTGCCTCCATTTCCTTCTTCCTCTCCTCCTCTGGAAAGGAGACCTCTGGCTTCTTTCTCATTGTCCTTGTCAACCCCTGTCACCTGACTCTCTTTTTACATATCCAGTAGAGCAAAGCTTGCTCCTCAGGCAACAAAAAAGACTTGTTTTTCCCTGCTTCAGGAATTATCCAAGCCAGACCATGTTAAAATTGTGAGCTATTGGTTTGAGCCTGCATTCAGCAGTGAAGAAGGGGAAATATGGTAAGTTGCCACTTGAATGAGATGAAGACTGCATATAGCAATGTCCCAAAAAGCAGCTACTCTTGACTTCTGCCTAGTTCCTGTCAGTCAGCAGTCATAAATTTTCTTATTTAATTAATAGTTTATGCAATGATGGGTCTAACAGCAAGGCTGTAATCAGGCAAGGGTCCTGCTGTGTCTTTATAGTGACTTTTCTCCAAATTTTTTCCTTTCTAGGCTTTAAGATCAAGCACAAGAAAAATAATGCCTGGGTTCCTTCTCTTTTTTATCCAGACCAATTTTCACACCATTCGTAATAAGCATTTTTAACCAACTTGTTTGTGCGTTAGGGTTTCCTAAAGAAGCAATGTGTTGAGAACACCACTGAATCATTTCTGTTTCAAAAAGGGACAAGGCCATTATCCAACTAAGTCGTAGCAAACTTCTAGTGTCAGACATTACTTCAGAGTTTCACTACATTCTTAAAGAGTTTAGTCATCAGCAAACATAGTAGCTTAGGTTCATGATATATAATAATAAGCTTCAACCACAAAGGTAACCAACCATCTTCACATTTTATGATGAGTTCCTTTTGGTCCAGATTTGACCCTTATCCACACTATGTAATCTCCTGCACAATGGAGTAATTTCCTGACCAAACTTCCCAAAACCTAGACTTTTGAGGGACAGTGGAAATGACAAGGGAAACGCTATTACTTAGAAATGTCAAACCCAGTGATGTAGCAGCAAATGTTTCCATTTTTTTCAATTTTGTTAACTGTAGTATAGAATCAGCTTTACGCTGAGAAAATAATGCATCTATTTCTGACAACTGTAATAACTGAGGCTTCTGAGGTCCATCCCAGTTGTGAGCCCAAGTGCTGCAAAGTCAATGAAGATTTGTAAGATGTTCCAATATGCTAATAACATATACTGAGGGGAAAAGTAAAAAAGAGAGAGAAAAGATGGAAAAGTTATCTGAGAGCAATTCATATTACTCTACGGATACAATGAAAGGGCTGCACTGAAGCCACCTTGGAAAAAAAAAGAAGTGTGGAAATGAATTAACTAAAACTGTTTTGTTGGAAACACAGTTTGTTCAACATCTGCCCTTAATCACTGCCTTTTCAATAGTGTTTAAAAAGGCAGTTTGAAAGTAACAGGTAGACATAGAATCCAACCATCAGAAAGGCCAATGACTGTTTTTTTCAATCCAGAGACTTTGGCCTTTGCCTGTGAGCCCCGAATTCACCTTCCTAAGGATGCTACCAGATTAGCTCACTATAAAGCTAGCAAAAACCCCTTACTGATTAATGTGAGGCCTGCCTTCTCTGTATCTTCTCAGGATCTTCCCCAGTAGAATCTACTGTGATTGAGCTCCAGACTTGGATGCTAAAAATCACAAAAAATAAAAACCAAACTGAAAACACATTTGTCCTCCATTACTAGATTTCACTTTCTCCATACATATTTGTTTTCTTAAAAAAAAAAAAAAAAGGATAATTACCATCTTTCAAAGAACTAAAAACCAGAATTAACCTTTTTTCCCTCTATGGCATATGTCCCTATGACAACACAGTAGATCCTTACATAAAGAACGACTTTGATGCTTTTTGCCCATATTTTTCAGTTTTCTAATCTTCATTTTTTCTAATTTTTTAAATAATTATTTCTTATTTTTACATTATTTCCTACTGTCCGTGAAATGTTAACTAAGTGCAAGTATCTGTACTTTTTGCCATCTGACACACCATTACAATGGAATTGCCATATGGATATTGACAAGTTTATATATCCTTTTGGAATAGAGGCAGTTGTATAGCAGCTGAACTACAACTGAACAATCCAATGTGACTCCAGATCTGCTAAATCGTTGCCCCAAACAAACCACCCTCCATGCGCAGTGGCAGAACATCTGAGGAGATAGCAGAGACTTGGCTGAGAAATAGGAAGACATGAGACCACAGAGACAAAGGACACTGTTCACACTGCCGCAGCTGTTGTCCAATCCACATTCATCCATTCCTGGAAAAGTTTTTGCTCTTGCTTTCCTTGCCAGAACACAGCTGCTGCTGACTAATGAGTCATGCTCAGAATAAGCACATTTTGCGGCAAGTAAACCACAGACACTATGCTTCCCCCATGACTATTGATGGGGAATGTAACTGAAATATAAGTTCTCTTTAAATAGCCCTATGATAGCTTAAAATATATTTTATTTCGATAAACAGGTGGGGGGCTTATGGAGCACTATGCATTATACACCTACCTTTATATGAATGGTGCAAAATAGGGTGGGTCTTACAGATCATGTCTGAGTAATAATTTTTATGGGTTAAAGCGGATTTCTAATTTTTCAGTGTAAAAGTTTACAAAGGTATATGAAAAATGCATTTTCCTTTCACATGTAGCAGGATGGCAAGCACAAATGCAACCCAAACTGAAATTATTCTGAAATCCTATGATCTTGTTAACGCTTAGGTAATTTCTCAATGAATTATTTACAAATCTCTGCTCCTTAGACGTGCTCACCACTGCCTACTGAATACATGATCCAGGTTATTTCACCTTCCTTTTGCATTATCATGCACTTCCCACGGTCTTGCCAGTCTTATTTCTTACTTCATTTCTTCTGTTTTATCTTATTCATTCCAGGGCATACAACTCAACTTAAGAATTTAATTATATTTTAGCAGGTAAAGTTTAAAAGTTTTGAGTCAGATGCAACACTGGATGATTTTTACATCACCTAGTATAATATAATATACCAGTTTATACTTTATATTAATATACAGTTCTCTTTATTAGATGAATGCACGGTTTGCCTCCTCCTCAGATGACACAACTATTTAAATCCTGTATTAACTAGGATTTAAACAAACTTATCAGCTTTATGATAGCTTGCTTTATGGTTGAAGGGGGTTCAGTTGGCCAGTTGTCATTCATCACAGTGAAATAGCACTGATATTTACTGATTATTGAACCTTCAACAAGCTGGATACACAGTATTTCCTTACCAGCTGACACTGTATTTAGTTGCTAGCACATTTGTATTCTGAAACTAATGTTATGAGGCTATTTGGTTTTATATTCCTGGAAGTGTATATTACCATAAAATGCAAGTACTGACTGGCCATGAATTGTTCATTTCTTAATGGTTTAAAATCATCGTCAAAGTTGTTCGACTGAAATTATTTCACTTTTTTTAGCCCCTGATGTTCAAAATGTATGATATTATTTAGTTACAAGAACTGAACTCCTTATTAAATATTTTATATTATCTCTAAGGTTGTTATTTTTAATCTATACTTCCGTACCAAACACTTCCAAGTTATGACGGAGTTAAATGATTTAAGTAGACTGAAAAGAAAGAAAAATCATTCTCTGCACTATGACTAACCACTCTCGTACCTGAAGTTTATTGTCAGTATTATCTCCTATACATAAAATTCTTCAATCAGATTTCAGTTCCTAACAATGCTTAGCCAATTTGAACTGATTTTTCATTATATTCTGGGGGAAAAAAAAAAAAAAAAAAAAAAAGGCTCTATGCAAAGTAATCTCCAAAGAGGACTGATATTTACACAAGTGGAAGCTAAGGTGACATTTCAGTTAAAATGAAACAGCATATTGTTTTTCCACAAGAATTCTGATCTATGATTCAGCAGTGCTATCATATGATGGTCCTATAGGAATATATCCATTCCTGGATAGGGATCCTCAAACTTTTATTCATATGGCTGAAATGACTTTTATAATGGACAAAACATCATGGTTCAGAAAAAAAGGTAAAATGACAATCAACTGATTAACACAGAATGGATTTAGGCAGTGTTTTGAGACATGAGTATGATTTCAAGAAGTTGCTACAATGGCCATCTCAGTCTGGAAAAGGCACAGAGGGAGCTGACAGAAACCATTCACCTAGAAAAATTCTTCTGTGATAGTTACTGATTTTGTTAGTCTTTGGTTTATTCTTAAAAACAAGGAGATTTGCAGTTAGCATGAGAGAAGCTGCACTGTTGCAGGTAAGGTTTCTACACAAAATGCAGCATTCATAAATAAAAAGGGCATTTTTATTTTGCTCAGGAAAATTGTTGGTATTTTTGCTTTCTTCATTTTCAAGAACTTTGAAGTGCTGCTATTCCCAAAAAATGGGAACTCTCCTTTGTTTATACCTAAAGTACACAGACATATGCATGCACACACAAACATACACACAAACATCTCTTTATGTCTACCAGTTTATCAAATTTCAGATAAAGTCATATTCTAAACACTTTTGGGACTGGTAGTACAAACGGGACCCTCTGACAAGCACTGGAGTTAGGGATTAACAAGAAAATGGGAGAAAAGCATTGGAGAGACTCTTTGCTTAGTTTAAAGGAGGCTAAGGAAAACAATAGTTATCCTGTACCATCCGTTGGGAAAGTTCTGGAAGGAAGAATATGTATATGAGAACATTTTTAAGATTCATGGAATATAAGAATGAGATGACAAGGAAATAAGTAATAATGAGTGGACTGGTCAGGTAAAGTTCTGAGCCCTATACTGAAGCATGATTGTAGAAGTTTCAAGAATGGTAGAAGCACTGACCCTTTTGTATGCTGTCATGTGCATTTACTCTCACTGAAGAGCCTGTCCAGACAACAAAAGGTTTTTCTCTACCTTTTTTCATTAGTGAGGAATGTCCAGGAAGATAATGGACACAAGCGGAGGGGAGAGTAAAGTGCATATGAGGTTTGACTGCATTTTGGAGAAATTATCTTGTTACCTTGAAAATTCCTTGAGGCTTAATAAAGGTGCTAGCATACATTAATTACCCAACAAGAAAAAATTATGTTTTGATCATCCATAGCGTATGTATGGAAAAAGGATAGTAGCTTCAACATCAGTATAGTATCTGATGGTTTAGCACATTGCCCCATTAAATATCCTTGAATTTTAACTCCCTTCTTACTCTTCTCTGTTCCCTCCTCCCCCAAAATCTACATTTTTTTAATGTTGTAATCAAAATTATGCATAGAAGGAAGAAAATCCCAATTTTGAACAATTTTTTTTTCAGGATTTTAGTATGGTTCCACTTTTTTTTTTTTTTTTACTCAGAATTTTACTGCAAAAAATTTGTCCTAACAGATATGAAAAAAGATATGCAAATCTAGAATTTAAGAAAATTTTAGTGTAATGCAGTTTCTAAGATAGAATGATAATTATCCAATTTCTTTTCAGTCATCAAAGAATAAAAGAATTTCAATTACCATAAAGTGGGAAAATGTGGAAATGAAATTTGACCTAGCAGAATATATGGAACTATTGCTTGAGAACAAGATACATTTTATCAGATATAAAAAAGAGAGGCAGACTGCTATACAGAGGAAGGTGAAGTCAAGTACATATGGAGGAATTTGGACGTTTAGGTGGCATTGATTTTTTTGAACAATTGTTACTTGCTTTTCTCTAGGTGAGCGGCAGTCAGCCAAAAGCATTCCATAAGCCACAATATGGTCCAGAAGCCACTTTTGAACTATGCTGATGTCAAAAGTAGACAATGATATGGGCTTCTTGTGAAACTGAACTAAAATCAGACTCCACCATCCATTGTCTCAAAGATTGGTGTGAGGAGCTGAGGTCCACTGTTTCGAGGATGGGTATTAGGATCTGAGATAAGACTCCACCATCTATTGTCTGAGAGTTGAGTGTGAAGAGCTGAAATAAGGCTCAACATTTGATTGTTTCAAGTATTGGTATGAGGAACTGCTATCCATTATTTGAAGAGCTGGCTGCAAGACCAGCGAAACTGGATGAAAACAATCCACCAGGAATGTGCCATATGTGACATTAAGAACAGAGGTACTTCCCCCAGCACATAATAAAAGGGGAAAAACGTAATCGCTGGGGAGCCACCAACCGCTGAAGACAACTACAGACCCTAGGGATGCTGTTGGATCTGTGGTGTTGACTATCCCTCTGCACTCCAAATGCTTGCTAAATCTCTACCCTTTTTTTTTCTAATCTCTCCTACCGCTATCTTTGTTATAATAATAATCTTTTTTATAATAATTATCTTTTTATAATAAACAAACTGACCGTTTGTGGTACTTGACCTTGTTTGCGTCTTAGTTTCACTCTGGAATTATGAATTAAATGTTTCCGACACTGGGTTTTATCCAGTTGGACCTTAACACTCCTAAAATGAATTTTGATTCATAAGTAATTGAATGCTTTATCACACTTTTGGATAGGTTTCTAGTAGTAAATGAACATTTTAAAAATCAGATTGAGGTCACAGAGTGATGGGTCTATTCAGTTAGGAAAGGACCTTTGGACACCACCTGTTCCCAGCCTCCTTCTCAAAGCAGGATCAATGTGCAGTACAGACCAGGCTGCTTTGGGCTTTCTCCAACCAGGTTTTGAAAACCTCCTTAAAGCTTTTAGAGACATCTGTGATATGAACACCAGTAAAAATGCTGTGAGAACCTTTTGGACATTTCCTTCTGGATTGATTCAGGAGATTACCTCAGAGCTACTTCAGCAAGAAAGTTCCTCAGGAAATTTCCCAGATGATAGCTTTGCAGAAGAACTGCAATAACACTTTTCCAGTGTAGGAAGTTTGAATAGGATACTTGGTCCTACAGTCTGCATTTGTTTATGAATCAGTTCTGAACATACTGGTGGGATGGGAGAAATCTATAACCTTTGATCAGTAGTGTCTTTAGCAGGACTCCTTTTGAGAATTACAGAACTACCCATGGCTTCTATCTCAGTAAACATGATTCCTGCACTGACATCAACTCATAACCTGCTGGTAAGTAGTTTGTGAAGTTGTTTTGTTGATGAAACCACAGGCTACAGTTTTAGGAAAGCAGTTCTTTCTTAAGGAAATTAACAAAAATAAAATTGTCTGCTTAATCTTAATTTGTAAATAGCAGACAGATGCTTATTTTGGTAGTACTTGGCTTTGATGCTCTTAAGAAGTGCTATGTTACAATGTGAAAATTTGATTAAATGTAAACAGCTTGATTAAATAAAAATGAATTTGTAATGCATTTATTCCTCTGATAGAGTTACTTTCTAAGACGTAAATTATTTCATTTTGAAATATGTTCTCCCTTACTAAGCTGTCAGAATTAGGATCTACAAAATAGGTAAGAAAACTTTCTTTGTGACATGTATGGCATCACCTATAAAAGCACAGTAAAGTACAACATCTGAGTGATATTTCACCTCCATATGATATGAGATTACAACTTCATGAAGAGTAAATGTTTGACATTGGCTAAGGAAGGTCCCTTCCAACCATAACGATTCTCTGGTTCTGTAAATTGTTACTCATAATGTGACATGAACAAGTTCTGACTAGATTTTTTAAATTGTTTTTTCATCTTTCCAAAATTAAGATTAACAGTATTTTTAGCAAATGGAAGAAAATAATTACGTAAATAAAAAAATAATAACTAATACAAGGCAAAGGTTGAATTGCTTCAAGGATTTCACTGCTTTATGTGAAAATTCTTGAGATGTGTTTAATCGCAAGACTATTTCCTTACATATCAAAATGTATCGTTTTAATATTTTTTCTCCTGTAAGAATGTTAAACGTATTTCCTCTACATTAAACTCACTGAGAGCATGAAACTGTAGCCTAGTGCCTGTGCTTAGAGGAAAGCAGCAAGTAATGTGTAGAAGACAAGCAAGAAGTACAACTGAGGAAAACCCAATCTTTTTCAGACTATGGATTCATACAGCTTATTTTCTGGTTTGTTTGTTGGTTTTTTTAACCTTGTAAATTCTGATTTTAGTTTTGAACTGGGGGACAGCATAAGTATGAAACACAGTTCCTAAGTCAGGGGTCTAAATAGAGAGATATAAGTATCAATTTAGATACTTACTTTTGAATTTTCTTGATCTAATTTATTTTAGAGAAGGTTACACTTGTGAAGAGAGAATTCTTGTGATCAAATTCACAGTTTCTGTGCTTTAGATGCTTAGATGGACATTCACAAACTGCATCAAGGAAAACTGCACTGACAGTTTATGCTGGTAACGGTGAAATGGCAATTCTATTTTCAGCTCAAGTGGAACCTTATAACTGGATATTCTATTCAAGATCTTCTCAGTCTTTTTCCTCCTACATCTTAATATATGTAATCACACTTTCCATGGCTTTCCATGACCCTACAGCCAACTCTTTGCAGCAGCTCACCCTCAGATACAGAAATGCTCCAAGATGTTTTCTGTATGTTTTCCAGAGACACAAAAGTAACACCCATGAACCTGACAA